TATGTTGAACTTTGGTCGGCCAGGAGACCCAGAGAACAAACGCCCAGCAGCTGCATCGTGTTGTGTTTCGCACGAATTGGTTATGATAGATAGTGCTTCTGAGAGGAGATCGACAACAGCCCGTTGAATAATATTGCTGTGATGATATCTTATCACTATACCCAATAGCCACTCCAACCTAAACTGAGCATTTTCAAGACTACTGCTTTCACCACTACGTTGCTCTAGTTGGTGAAGTATACTTAAAACACAGCGTCTCAGAAGATTTCTTACCTCGATTGTGAAGTCTTCCTCCATGTTTTTATGTATATACGAGCCTGCGATCAGATCCAGGATCCTGTACGTCATGTAAAATTGCCGTGAAACAGCCGAATATAAAACAGCCGAATACGAACCAGCCGAATACAAAACAGCCGAATACAAAACAGCCGAATACGAACCAGCCGAATACAAAACAGCCGAATACAAAACAGCCGAATACAAAACAGCCGAATACAAAACAGCCGAATACAAAACAGCCGAATACAAAACAGCCGAATACAAAACAGCCGAATACGAAACAGCCGAATACAAAACAGCCGAATACAAAACAGCCGAATACAAAACAGCCGAATACAAAACAGCCGAATACAAAACAGCAGAATACAAAACAGCCGAATACATAACCGCCGAATACGAAACAGCCGAATACATAACAGCCGAATACGAAACAGCCGAATACGATTTTGCCGAATAGAACTGTATGTATAATTGGGTCAAATTGAATGTCAAAATGGCATAATGAATTTTGGCGGTAATCACCCTTCATAAATATAAAACAGTCACAGGATTTGACTCGCTTGAGGGCTATTGGGCTAACTGCAAATTTTTTTGGCTACCTGCAAAAAAACTAAATATACAGGCAATGTTTTGAATAATACAAATGGCAATGACAAAAGAATGTTTATTGAACAAAGCTCTGTATCAAATTTTAAAAAAAAATGGTAAAAGGCTAACCTTGAAAGATGAGCAAAATTTATGGTCCCAGGGATATTCTCAACGGCTTTGCTTTTCTCAACACAATGTTCAACTAAGCATTATCACGTCTGTCAAGCAATGTGAAGCTTATTGACCTTATTGCAACCCAAGAGGTGTTACTTAAAGTTGAAATTACAGCAAACATTGCATCGCTTTAGCCAAACTTAGCCATTTGTAAGGTTTGAAAAAGCTTTAAACATTTATTACAGTATACGTAATCAAACTGCTTAGCGGTCAATCCTTGAGCTGAAATTATGACCGCGTCATTAAGCCAGCCTGCAGATCGTTGTGCATGATGTCTATTTGTTTTCATTACATAATTACGCAGCCACTTCATGGTCATACTTGCGGCTCATGTCTGATTGGTTGGTTGTTTTCACTGTGGAATGTGGGTGGAAATTTCAAGTAAGTGGGCAGAGTTAATTTTTATTAAGGACGATTGCAGGCGCTTTATTTTTCTTTCGACCGTTTTTTCTCGCCCTTTTTTTCTAACCTGCCATTTATTAAAAAATCCTCAATTTAACCTTCAATAAAATAAAGCGATTGCTTCGCAGGCCACCTCATCCCAGGCTCATGTCTGGAATGGCGCTTTGCGCCATTGGCTCAGGGATTAAAATTAAGAGTCCCCAGGCCAACCCTCCCTTTTTCTGATATACTCAATAACACCAATATACAATATATATACACCCTAAGTTATTTAACCTTAAAATATCACACTTTGGTGAAATTGTATTTTGATAAACAGAACTTTAATAATGTAAACCAGTCACAAGTAATTAATCAATACCTCTATTTATATGTTGCGGTGTTTCCTTAGATTTAGCTGGTCCTATGTGGCCAGGTGTCTGTACGTTTCCCTTCAATTCACTCGAATTAATCTGATTTTAAGCGAAAAAATAGTGTAAACTAATTTTTATACCATTATATATAATATTTTCCTTAGTTTAACTTACGTTTTCTTCATCAGACGTTTCATTTTTCGGCGGTTTAAGTAATTCTTGCAAAGCAGAGAGTTGAGAAATGTTCGCCATATTGTTTTGATGACAGAAAATGCAGAAACCAAGCAACAACCACAAGATCCCTGGTTATCCCTAATTATCCTTGCATTCATTGTAATACTCACATCGCGAGAAAAACTAGACTGCGAGCGGTCCCTCCTTTGAGGGTCCTGAAGGGG